GGGGAGGGGGCGCCCGGCGCTCAGCGCCGTCTCCTCTGCTGCCCCCTCCCCAGGCCGATTACCACAGGAAATTCGGCAAGATTTTCCGCATGAAGCTGGGCGCCTTCGACTCGGTGCACATCGCCGCGCCGTGCCTCCTGGAAGCCCTGTACCGCCGGGAGGCTGCCTGCCCGCAGCGCCTCGAGATCAAGCCCTGGAAAGCCTATCGCGACTATCGCGACGAGGGCTACGGGCTGCTCATCCTGTGAGTGGCGCGGGGCAGCGCGGCGGGGAGGGACGGGCGCTCTCGGGATGCGGGACCAGAGGATGCCACTAGCAGCGACGTCTCATTGCACCTGCTGCTCTTCTCTCTCCGTTTTTGTTTTGTTGCTGTTGTTTTCCTCTCATTTATCCTCACCCTCTTCTCATCCTTGCTGCCTTGAAATCCCCTCAGGGAAGGCAAAGACTGGCAGAGGGTAAGAAGTGCCTTTCAGAAGAAGCTGATGAAACCCGCAGAAGTTGTGAAGCTGGATGCCCCCATCAACGAGGTACTGCAGCCTGCAGAGGCTCCTTCTCCAGATTGCTATTAGTCGGGCTCTTCTCTAATCTCTCTTCTTTCATCTCTGTCTACTCTAGGTCCTGGAGGACTTCATGTATAGAATGGATGATCTCTGTAACCACAATGGACAAATTGAAGATGTATATTCAGAAATCAACAAATGGTCGTTTGAAAGTAAGTTTTTTTTTGGGTTCTCTACTTATGGTATTTTGGATAGAGTGAAACCAGTGAAGACAGGGAAGGCCAGTTATTTCTGAACTGTAAACTACAGCATCAGGTAAAGGGGCTGCAGAAAAGCCAGGGGCCACAAGTGTACACGCAAAGTTCATCATGAACCAGAGAAACCCTCCAGTTGTGTCTCATATTGCATGTGGATTGTAGGAAATGTCAAACACTGATAGTGACTTGCACATCCAAAAATCTTGGAATCGCAGTGTAATTCTCCAGATTTACCCAGAAAGGAGCTTCCATCTTTAGAAGTTTTTAGAGTAAAAGAAGGAAGCATCAGCCAGGAATGACTTAGGGTAGAAGGAAAAGCAACAGCAGAAATGCTCAACAAAAAAGGCATGGCCAGGCACAGTGCTAACGCAAGCCCAACAGCTAGGTGTTACTGGGTGTGCAGTAATCAGCTGTGCAGAAGGTTGAATTTTGAACCACTTTTCTCACGGGTTGTGTCATAGAGCAGAGAATGTTTTTTTCAGAGGGATAATTCAAATGGTGTAATGGCAATAAATGGTGAACACTACACACCCTCTCTTCTATATCATTTAATGAGAATATTGCTTAACAACAGGTATCTGCCTGGTGCTGTATGGGAAAAGGTTTGGTCTCCTGCAGCGTGATGTAGATGAAGAAGGTTTGAACTTCATCAAGGCCGTAAAAACGGTATGGAAGAAATGCCTTAGACTTTACCTGGGACTGTAGTGATTTTCTGAATGGGTAGTGGTTTAAATAAGACTCCTGAAAAAAGAAACTTGAGATTCCATTGCCATTCTTTCCCATTTGATGCCACACTCAAATGGGCAAAGCTCTGACCATCAGACTTTCTAGTTAACGAAAAGCCTAAGCCTGTGGGGTGAAGATGCTGTACGGACATCAGGGTAATCCCTGAGTTACAGCTGTCAGGTTGGTTGGATTTCCTCTCCCTCGTAGGCACCTGTTGTGCAACGCTGCTGTTTGTGCCGGGTGGGACTGTGGAGTTGTGTGGGATTATGCAAATCCTCTGGATTGGGAGTTAGTCACTCTCGGGGCACACCTGCCCGTGCTGTGCTGCAACGTGGACTCGGTGATACTCACCTCGCTGCTCCGAGTCGTCCCAAAGGCAGCCGTGCGGTCCGGCCTGGCTGCTCCGCTCCATCCGCCGTCCACGGAGGGAGAGGATGGCTAAAGGATGGCCTCTACCATTCCAAAACAGGTGCCTAATACAAGCAGGATGAACAACCCATTGTTAAAATATCTTATTCTCCACCGGCTGCACGCAAGCTTTAGTTCCATAAGGTGAATCCTACCCTTTCTATAGCACAGAAATGCTGTCAGAATCCCAACTTATTGATCTAGTGAAAATTGCAGCCTACTGTACAGTCCAATTTTGTTCACAAATTGCAAGTAGGTAGATTAAAGAAGGATTTCAAAAGCTGTTTCTCCACCACAGATGATGGCTACTTTCGGAATGATGATGGTGACCCCAGTGGAGCTTCACAAGGGTTTCAACACAAAAGTCTGGCAAGCTCATACTAAAGCATGGGATAATATATTTAAGACAGGTTATTAGTAATTTTTGAACATAACTCCTCCTTTTCCTCCTGCTCTGCCTCTCACTTGGTGGAATTAACTTTCTTTATGTCTTACTTTGCTGTTACTTGCTACCCTGAGCATAGATTGAGACACCTTTGCTGCTGCTGACCACAAACCTCTTGATTCCAAACATGGGAGCACTGGTTTCTTATGACTAACACCTACTGCTGCTTGTGTGGCAACACCCCGTGCCCAGGGAATCCCCAGAAATTAGGGAGCCAGCAAAGCTGAGTCTAGTCAAGTCTATTATAAAAGCACAGAGCTGGGAAGGCTATTTCACTTTAAAGGCAGGGTATATGAGAAAAGGAAGGGCAGTTTTGCTGTTGAGAAACAAGATTGAAGATTGAAAAGATCAAGATTGAAAAGATTACTGTAAACTCCAGATATGCAGTTCATACTTTTCAATTGTTTTCCCAAGACCCTTATAATTCTAGCTAGAGATGAAGCAAGGCTGTGGTCCCTGGGTAATTGTAATGCTGATTTTCATATTTTTCTTACCAGACCCTTTGAGGGTTCACTCATGGCAATCATATGTGCACTTGTTCTGTTGCTTTTCAGTTTATGGGTTTCTAGGATCATCAACAATGAACACATCACTGATTTCCTTCCCTAATATTAGAATGCTGAATTCTTAGTGCCTTTCAGATGTTATGTTTGTAAATAATTTCTGGAACTGTTTGGTTAACATTAGTTGGTACAGTGCTCATGATTTAAAACCAGAGCACAGCTTGACATCCTCTTTCAAAATCCTGCATGTGCGCCATATTTGCACTTTTATTTTGAGAGCAGTTTATCAACTTTCCACTAATTGCCTCCTGTTCTTCCATCCTCAGCCAAGTATTCAATTGACAATCGACTGGAAAAACATTCTGCAAACCCTCATGAGGATTTCCTGTGTGACATCTATTCCGGAGGACAACTTTCCAAGAAAGAGCTATATGCTGCCATTGCAGAGCTCCAGATTGCAGGTGTTGAAACGGTAAATGTTAAAGAGCTTTTTAAAATCAGCAGCCTTGCAGCTCTCTGCTTTCCTCCATAACCTGCTAGAGAACACAAGAGCATCAGTGAGCTCATCTTGTAGTTGCCTCAGTGGCCTGAATGCGAGTGAAATTTTACCTGGACAAATTCTTTCCTCTATTGGTTTCTCTTGGAGAGCAATTGAGATGGTTTATAATCTCTTAAATTGAAATCCTGTAACCATAAACTGCTTATGCTAAAAATGTTGCTTTTAACTTCTGGGAACTTCTTGTTTCTGTCACTGTGAGTGGAGATCTTATGTTTCTTTTTGGCTTGTTTCAGACCGCCAATAGTTTGCTGTGGGTTTTATACAACATTTCGCGCAATCCACATGTTCAGCAGAAACTTTTTACAGAAATACAGAGTGTTTTGGCTGCTAATGAGAGTCCAAGTGCTGAGAACTTGAAGAAAATGCCTTACCTAAAAGCATGTCTGAAAGAATCCATGAGGTAAAATTTTCAAATAACTTGCAAAAAGTAAATGACCAGTTTGACTATTTAATCTACAGTATGGAGAAAAAAACTGCTAGTACATATAATAGTGGGCTCCTTGTTGTTTAGAGCAAGCTACTGCATATTCAGGAAGAAGAAAATGTTGGGAATTTAAAAAAAAATGTTTCTTTTATTGTAGATTAACACCATCTGTGCCATTTACCACTCGCACTATTGACAAAGAAATGGTTCTGGGAGACTACGTACTACCCCAAGGGGTAAGTCAGTGTGGTTAGTTTAAGTATTCCATTGAAGTTTAACTCTCCTCTAAAACAGAGCTTTTCATATCTTGGTCTCAGAATGACTTTACTGAAAGACTTCCCTGAATTAGGCTTGAACCTAATTTGGGCCAAGAAGTTCCATAAATTTAAACAGTTTTCAATGGAGGGTAAAATTAAATTAGTGAATCTGATGCCCTGACATCAGAAGGATGGTTGTCTCTTTTGTTTTTTCCAATTTTCTGTTTTTCTAATGCTTCATTTCAGATTGAAATAATTCAGTAGCTTCCTACCTAATCACCTTCCTAGAACGTGTCTTGGTGCAGTCTCATGATGTTGTACTTGGTTGTGCAACTGAATTGGACAAAAATATTTTGGTGTGGGATTTGAAGATTTTTCTTTTTTCTCCAAATTTTCCACACTCATTTCTGAGGAAAATGACCTTTACTGTGTTTGAATTAATCTTTAGAGAATTCCGAGACTTTCAGGCAAAATTGCCTTTCCTGTAACTGTTGTGTTATTTTTTTTTCCACTAACAAGCTGATTCACTTGGTAGCACTAAGCCAATGTGTAACTCAGACTGTGTCTATTGCTTTTTTTATAGACAGTACTAATGATAAACACCCATGCCCTGGGTTGCAATGAAGAGTACTTTAATGATTGGACTCAATTTAAACCAGAGCGCTGGCTTCAGAAGAACTTGATAAATCCCTTTACTCATGTTCCATTTGGCATTGGGAAGAGGATGTGCATCGGACGGCGCTTAGCAGAACTCCAGCTGCATCTAGCGCTCTGCTGGGTAAATACTCCCCGATGGCCTCGTCACACAACGTACAATTGTCCCAACCTTAACTTGGTCAGACAGTCCAGAAGCCAAAACATGCTCACTCGTGTGTTTGTGTTTCAGCTCATTCGCAAGTACCAAATTGTAGCAACTGACAGCAAGCCAGTAGAAACACTCCATTCGGGAATACTCATTCCCAACCGGGAGCTTCCCATTGCATTTCGAAGACGGTAAGGTATGTAGGTAAGGGTTTCCTCAGTATGAGAGACTTAGCTTCAAGCCTCACTTAAAATTTTTACAGAACTGTGAGTGGGAGAGTATAGACTTTTATCTGTGCTCAGTTCTTACATGTGAGATTATTAAATGACATTATTACTTTTAACAGAAACTATTCTATGCAATGCAAATGAGAAAGCTTGTATGGCCTATTTATGATGTTCTGAGTATTCTATGCAATGCAAATGAGAAAGCTCATATGGCCTATTTATGATGTTTGTTCAGTGCTGTTTACTTTAAATAACAGATCACTATGTACTTTTTCCCTTCCCTCTCTTGTTTAGGTCATAAACAAGTGACAGTACTACTGCTGCCTTTACTGAAGACAACGTATCTATGGGAAAAGCCAAAACCTATGGAAACCAGTGGAGACACTGCCACAGATATCCCTTGACCAGTCACTGAGAAATGGAAATAGTGCCCACAGAAGCTCCCCCAGTGTTTCTTTGGTAAATGTGCCTAGTTCAGCTTTACTTACCAGTGTCAAAAGGAAAGGAAAAACACTGTGTCACATTGATATACCTGTCCAAAGACAACAATTTAGTGCAACCTAAGAATTCTGCAGGATAAGGTTGATAATGAGCTGTGAAGTGGTTATATAAAGCTCTTACTAGTGCACAGTGACATTATTTCTGCTGGCCTGTTGGGCAGCTTTCAGCTGTACCAGGCTCGTTTCAAGACTGGGACCCCTGGGGGAACAACAGCCAGGGCTGAGCAAGTCCTGTTGGGTTAGCTCAGTGCTATGAGGTGTCAGCTGAAGGGAAAAGAAAATTCCTTCATCCATATCAGACTATTAGTGTTGTGAATTAACCTGGGAATTAGGCTGCTACTCTGTAATAAGGGAAAAAATATTTCCTTCAATATCCTAATTTTTAAGACCTGTTGTTAGCCTTAAGTTTTTTGTTGTTTTTTTCCCTTCCTTAATAAAAGAGAGGTAAGAACAGAGCTACATAATGAGAATTATTCATAGTGCCTGCATAGTACTTAAATTTTAACAGTTTATAGTATTGTAACGGCTACATACTACATTGAAACCTACAGTGGTTTATGTGTCTAGCTCCCATGCAAGCCATCTCATCACGTCTTTATTACAAAAATCTTAGTGGCCTTTTATTGTATGAGAGGCTTTATCCATAAATTGAATCACTGGAATCCTATGGGTTCTGCCATAAATAATGGTTATCCTAACAGGATAGTTACTTCCTCAGATAAGTAATATAAAACGTATTTTTCAAAGCACTGTAGGAGATAGGGAACCCAGACATTTCCAAGAGGTTTGTTTATTGCTGAGATTTCAATACGTTGATCTAAGGGCTAAAGGGTTCATTGCCCTGCATGTAATACAGTCTGTTAGTTATTACGGTCATTAGTATTTTTCCCACAATACAGTTTCAAGTGCAGGTTTATATACATATATAACTGTTAATATTTTTTATATATACTCTGAAATGATGAAAAATCTTAGCATTTGTTGACCTCTTGTTTTGTTTGTTTTCCTTGGGTATTGGTTTTCCTTGGGCATGTCAATGTAACAATATTACAATGTGTAAAGCAATTTGTGCATTATTTGAATCTTTCTAGTCAATTTTGTAATGGTCACATTTGTAATAAAATAATGCTATATGTTTTCTATAAAGTGTCTTCCATAATTTTATTCTAAGGTCTTTGTAGTGTAACGAATCTTGCCAGGCTTTCAGGTTAATTTCTTCAAAGATAGTGTGGTACTTTCATCCTTATTGTTAATATTCTTATTGGGCTTCAACTTAAAATTTTACACAATCACTCTACTTAAATTTAAGCACTCAAATCCTTCTGCTTCTTGATTTTCCCCCAGGTTCTTTGGCTTACATGCCTATATTCAGAATAAAAGAGATAGTCAGAAGAGAGAACATTAAAGCTCTAACGTGTTCATCAGTCACTTTAAATCTATTTTGCTCTAAGCTGTCATTTGCTCTTTCAGTACGTTTTCCTATATCAATAATTCATGCCCAAAAAACTGCACCTTAAGTAAGGATAGTAGAGGCCAAGGAGTGCAGGCCTGTGTAGCAGCAGGGCAGATGGCAGGGGTTGCTGAGGTAAACGATGCTGGGATGGTAACAGCTGTCACCTGTAGCCATTGAACACTCACGTTTTCATTCTCTCGCTGCTTGCCTGGGAAATCTTCTCCCGAATCTTTTTGACATCCTTTGACCACTGCCCTTCTACCAACAAAACTCTAAGGGCTGCTTCCTGGCACTGTGCAGAGGCCTGACCCTCCAGAGCCTGGACTGCCTCCTCCGTTGTGCATTTACCCATTAACCACCGTGCTGTTCTGCAGCGGAGGCTGCCCCGAGCAGTCGGGAATGTGTCAGGTCCCTTCCCCGGGTGTAACCGCTCCAGGTGTCGGGGCGCGGCCGCAGCGGCTCCCTGCGCGCTGGGCCCGGGGACGCGTTTGCTTTGTTTCCCTCCCGTTATCCCGAGATGGAATCCTTCCAAAGTGTTGAAGAAGGATGGAAATAGCTTGAACCGTTGTGAGATCAGAAGAAATGATGTGTATTAAAAAATAGGAGCTATGTACCCAGCACACCCTGACAGGAGAGCCGACGCAGGCAGCAGTCTGCCCGTTATCGAAACTGTGCTGTCTGTGCCACGTTAACGTTGCCCCTGGCTGGATGAGTGGTGGAGTAAGAAAAATCATAAGCACTATGCAAAAATGTCACCTTTCTGATAAAAAAAAATGCTTTAGAAAAGTAAAACTGCCGTAACTACTGTGACAGCTGGCAATCCCTGGTACCAGCACTGGGGTGAGGCTGCAAGACAGCAGGTCAACCTAGGCCAACGGAGCCCATGGGGGTAGATCAACCCAAGGTGCTATCACATTAGTAATATGCACACTAAGTTTCTTCCTACAGAATTATAAGCTAATATTGCACTATTAAAGCCAAAGGAGTTGTTCCAATTTGAAAGAAATGTTAACAGAAAGTCAGAGTTTTGTTCAATTCTAAAGTATATTATACTGCTCACACACATATTCTTATTTAAAATTTAAAGATAAGAATTTAAAGACAAAAAGATTAGATATTATTTATTTGAACTGACCTTGACAACCCAGCAGTCAGCTATTTCGAAAACCTTAGTAGCTTCTGTGTTGTAAATCCCAGGTCCATGTTTACTATGTCATTTCACAAATTAAATTTAGTGGACCCAAAGATCTGTAACAGTGCTATTCCCAGGAAGATTTTGACCAATTTTGTACAAGCTGTAGCAGGCATGTGTGCTGTCCTCCAGGTTTCTCAAAAGTAAAATAACTGCTGATCTGGAATTTTGTGTTCCGGAAGCTTTGTGGATTTTCAAGTTCCTGAAGTATTCAAAGAACTTCACTAATCTGCTACCCCAGAGTGCATGTCCAAAATGGAAATGGGTAAATAAGAAACTACACAGATAATGAATGACCAGGCCAGCCATTCGCATGAAGAAACCTATATGGCTTTCTTATTCTCCTATTTCAAAAGTATCAAAAGAGTACGATGCTTCCAAGATTAATACATGTCTATAAAACTTCTCACCTAGTGGTGATCTGGATAAAATGAGTTGATCCAGGTCATTGTTTCTTTATTTGTTCTTTGAGAATTACATATTCAGATGACTGGCAATACTGCCTCACTGCTGCTAATTCTTGCAGGAACTCCTTAGCAGGAGATACTTGGATCATGAAATGAATGGAGTTAATTGGCCTCCACATTAACTTTCTCAATAAGGAAGTGAACTAGGTTTACACATCCAGAAGGAAGCTAATTCTGTTCAGCTTTAGGCATGTTAGTGAGAGTGGAAGTTGGAGCCAACTAATCGCTTTTTTTTTTATGGATAAAGAATGCCAGTTCTCAGGACTGACAATCTGGCATTTTTCATGCATGTTCTGTTCATTATAAACTGATTATTATATAGCATTTTATGAGTCAGTCTCTATATACAACTTGCAATGCTATGATTAGGCAACAGATAATATGTTCTAGTTTGACTTTTTCCATATAAAGAAATACATATTTTAAAAATAGCAAAAGGTAAAATTCATGTCTGTGTCAATGCTGACCTTAACAAACAGGAAAAAATAATTCAAGTTCTGAAAAATTAATTCTTAGAAATGTTGATAACTAAAGTTAACATTAGAATAGATCTTAGTCGAACAGTTTAGAACCTGATTAATTTTAAATATGTGAAACATCACATTTACCTCAGTGGAACCACATGTTATTTGTGACACACACATCCAAAATCCATGTAGAAGCAATTCAAATGCAGCTGTAGAAGAAAAAGCTGCCTGTTCACTTCAGAGAACTGAAACAAAAGGGTCTATTGAGGCTGAGAACACAAGCGGCCTCATTAATCGCTTACGTGGATGTGTGAGTTGTTCTAGTACCTCCTGAAACGATACGCTGCAGAGTGGGCAGCTGCATTCAACATTTCTTTGGTATATTCTTCCAAGGGTCGTTTGGGAAAAACTATGAATGTTGCATCTACGAATGTTTCATCTATGAATGTTGCATTATGAAGATGAGCACTATACTTATGCACCAACATTTATTCTTGGGTATTTCTGAGTATCAGCTTTCAAGAGAGCAAGAAAAACAGACGGGGGTGAAACTGTTCTGTTGCAGACATGAGCCGCAGTCTGACCTTTCTCGGATCTCTGCTATTCTGATACTGCCAGTTCTGCACTCTTGTCCTGCACCTCAGGGCTGCAGTCCCAGTGCCACAGCTCCCTTACACATCAGGGTGTAACCCTGGAGTAAATTTGTTGATGCTGATAGCTGTAAACTAATCTAAAACTGGTAGGAGTTTTAGACAATTGGTACTTCAGAACCTTTTGTGAAAGCAATGTAATGGGTACAGATGGACACCATTCTTGAGAGCTGGTACTACACTACAGTGTACATTTTCCAAGACAGCCCAATTCTCTTTATGAATATTACTATGCATTT